ATTAGAAGGGATGCTGGGTCCATCACTACGATTGGCGCAGTCGGCTATTGTGTGTTCAGCTCGAATGCTTCAGCGCTCACCGATTCCAAGTGTGACTTGAATGGTGACTGGAGTATGACTGTGCCGTCAAAGTTAATTTAATGGCACAAATGCGTACAATGCATTGGTTCAGTGGCGTTAAATTTTCCTAAACTCAGCTGGATTTCATGGAAAAAAATGGGTATGTCATTTTTGCCCCGTGATTCGTGCATAGAGCTGCGTGGCTGCCTGGCCTAGGTATTAAAACCAACATGCTTCAGAGGCTCCTCTGTCCTTACAAGGTGTCGATGTCGGATTTTTCAATTTCAAAGGAATGTTTTAATACCATGGTTCAGAAGTGTATTTCAAATAGCTCTTAGTGTCATCTCTATGATGTATTCCCAAATTAACCACCGGGTTTTAGTCTCTCTCTCACCGTTCCATTTGTTAGGCAATGAGTCCTGTTGTGAACTTATTTTCCTGTAATGCTCTACTGAGCCACTTCACTTCACCTGCTCTTACCGACTCATCCGATTACAGCACCTTAGCATGATTTACTAAGAATCCGTAGTGAGGATGCGAAGATTCGCAGTAAAGGTGGGTTTCCTTTAAATGCCCACCAAGATTGCATGGTTCGTGTAAACAGATAAATTACAGTAAAGGTGACTTATAGTTCTTTTTGCTCTCAGTTTCCGCAGTGAATTTTCTGCTACTATATTTATTGTTTGTGTAAGAAAACTTGTTGTATTGTGGCAGATGTGATCGAAAATATGTCTTCAGTGTATCTCAACCAGGTCCACGGTGGATGAGGAAGGTCACGTATGACATTAAATTGGTGGTCGGATATAGTTTAACAGAAGTATCGAAATAAGTTTTTTACAAATACTCTGATTAACGCACTAATTTGGTTTCAACAGGTGACTCAAATGAATCCAGCTGAATCTGCTGCTTAGAGTGGTCCGCTTCAGCTGAATGTGTTGCACCAGGCGCCCCCATCTTTATGTTGATTTGATATTTAACTGAGTCTATTATCAACGAAAGATTATGCTGGATCCAGTTAGGTATCCCGTCAAGACCAAACCCGCGTGCAAATGAGAGTATTTGTCGAAGTGTGTTTCATTTAGATTCAAATGAAACCGGGGTCTGCGCCCAACTGATGAGCCCCAAAGAGGGCGGGACTGATTTTGAGCTATCGAAGAGGTTTTGGCAAGCTTACTTTTAGGGGTTTTCTTGTTAGAGATATAGAAACTAGCAGGGAATAAACACTTGCCAGTTGGTATAGTTGTATAAATAGCTGCTACATCAATCATTCACGAAACTTATCACTAGCATTCAATAGGGTCTCAAAAAATTGCTGTGGTGCTTTGATAGGCTGCAATTTTTACAAGTGGTATAGTTCACGATACAACGTATGGCAGTGAACATTGATACATCTTTTGCAACCCATGGGGTCTTCAGTTTTTATTTAATTCTTATGCAACTGGACACCGGTGTACTTGATCGGTTCCCTGTTTTAGTTGTTGCAGGTATTTGTTGACCCAAACTTTGGTCTTGTTGAGAGTTGAAGCTTCTTTCTACGATTTGATCCGTTTGGAAAGGCTCAACGTCAGATGTTTGAGCACTTTTTCTTCATTATCAGCTTGATTCATGACATGGTGAAGCGAATCGTGTTGTCTTTTTTAGTGAGCCTATATCTTCAAACAACAGATGTATTGGATTAGCCACTGATTTTTAGAACGTTTCATGTATGTGTCTGGTTTATTTTGATTTCTTTACTGGAGGCTTTGATTGTGCGGGCTCTATACCAGGAACTGTTTCACTAGAAGGGAGCGATTTGTGGGTGAATTTGGAGTAAAGGCCTGTCTCTAACAATCGCACCTCACTGTGAGGCAAGTTCATGTGGGATAGGTTGCAGACCAACTCGTTTTAGGTAGGATTGCTTGGCAGCGGATTCTTCTGACATGGTATATTTACTACTGGACTGTAATCATTTGCACACAGATCGCGAACATCATTTCGCGAACACTCACAAAACTTCGTTCAGTAACCAAATAAAGGTGCAAATCAACTCTGTTCAGCTATCTTTCTAAAATTACCTTAGGGCGTTTACGTTCCACTCGCCGAATCGACAGACGTTATCATCCGCAGGCTGTGAAACAAGTCTATAAGCTGGGCCGCCCACCTTCAGCCAACACAGTATACTTGGTTTACTTTAAACCGTAACAAAGCGATGGCATCTGCTGTCATTTTGTTTTGTTTTGTTTGTATCATTTGCATCATGTTTTGATTGCTTCACAGAAGCTTAATTTGATGTCCGGAAGAGGAGTATTTTCCAGCCTACTGTTATTCGACGGACCAGATAGAAGCCACAGGAGCTGGTTCGTCACTGTCATTTTTAAACACAGATGGCTACGTGAAAGCTTACATGGATGAAAGTAGCAACGTCGACCGCAATATTTTTACTGGTACTGGAAGTATACATTAAAAGCATAGACAGCTTCTATAACGATTTCTTGTAGGTTATACCACAGTGTCTCAGTTTGGCCAAGCAATCCATCAGGGAATTAATAAAAAAGAGAAAATCGTAGGTAGGTGTACCAGGGAATCCCCTGGACGGTAAGATGGATAACGTGACGAATTGTGTATAAATTTTCAACTTTCGTGAACTTTAGGGTGAGAACAAATGGCACTCAGGAAAGTGCAATTGACTGGATGCCAAAAAGTGTGAAAAACACTGCACTAAAAGATTTCGCCGAAAGACACCTCAAAAGGTCGTTATACCCAAACGTTTTTCATAACAAATAGAAAAGCCCTCCAATAGACGAGGTTGAATTTTTAGTGTGGACATTGATGTGAATAATTCTTACGGGTCATGGAGACGGCCTTCAAAGAAACAGTAGTGCTGTATCTCCCGGTAATGAGACGTCTTAGCACGAATTGCACGGCTCAGCAAACGAATTAAGGGTTTTCCATGTATAACCTGTAATAACAACAGTCCTGTCGCACTGCTAAATGACAACATTCTTTTGGGCAACACTGAGTGGCTTTGGAGCGAATAGTGGCTGAAATTATCCTACATTCACCCGACACTGAATATTTGGCGCTTGTGGGGTGGACTTGTAATGCATGCAGCTTATTGATCCATCAGGTATGAATCTACAAGATTTCCAATTGAGGAAAATTAATCCTCTATTTTTCTTCATTTATGTCGAACTCTGTGTGAGGATTCTGTAAAACTTGGCTTCCTGTATAGTAGCGAACCAATTTGAAGATAGGAAACTTCACGGCACCCACACTAGATAAGCATGCAAACGTCTGATCAGCCTATTGTTACAGGGTTTTTTGGAAGCCAAATCACACATCTGCATGGTACCGGTGGTTGGCGCTTATCAGACAGACAAGGAATAAAAGTTTTTGGTGTTTCAGTGGCTTTAAAGTTCTGAAACGGCGGGTGGTAAGTCCTGTTTTTTTCCCAAGTGAGACAAGTATACACGAGAAAAAACATGAGTGCCAGTCGAGAAGTAGCTTTGAAATTCCGCAAACGCGATGACTCATTCATAAATTGCTGCTAATCCAGCGTGGATGACGTTTAAAGATCTCGTGTTCAGCTTCGGGTGCTGTCCTTCTGTTTGTGTTATGGGCTGTCGAAATGAGCTTTATTCTTGCACGTATGTGTGCATGTGTACCTTGCCCACACTCGTTTGTCCTCATATATGGTATCACAACTAGCACACCGTGTGCCACTCTGGCCAGAGCCTGAACAGTCTGTGATAGCTTTGCTACGGCGTGACTATCTAACACAAAAGAACCCGGAAGTAGTCTTGCCCGTTATTGGTCCAGTAGAAAAATGGCACACCGAGTTGTTGGGTTGTTTGTCCTAGCTAGCTCCGGTTTGAAGACACGAACTGTGACAACAGTAAGGGAACAATTATGTCGTGTGCGAAAAGTGATGCGCACTTTATCTCTGGTTCACAAAGTGCACTGAGGAACTGTGCTCTTTGGAATTGGCTGTGAGTGATACGATACAAACGCATGCCACGAATTGTACTCAGTTGGATTACCCTAATCTGGATCAGCTTATCGATTTTCTCTTTAAGTACAATCTGGATAAGCTTGATCAGTTCTCCATGGCTAGTCCGTACGGACAGTGCTGAATCGAGACTTTTGTCAGATTGTCCCACTACAACGAAATCACCAGCATTCCATTTGACTGCCCAAGAAAACTCACAGACTTCTGTCCTTCCGCCATCGATTGGGCCTTGGATGAGATGCCAAAATGCGTGCAGTCCACAGACCGATTTATGGTCATCTTTTATTCAAATGATTAGTGATTCCAATGCGCGCTGTCATCTCGCCATGTGGGGATTTGGAAACAGACCAGCAAAAGGGAACGGTGTTGTGTGGGCAGCGGCCGGACTGTGTCTGTTCAGCTGTATAGCCTTATCATTTTCGGAATTTTTTGTACTACTAAGTCTGTGCAAAAGGGAGATTTGTGGAAGAAGTATGCTCAGTGTCACAGGTTCACTTCAAGGTTTTGCCGGTGAGTATTGGTTTCAGGTAGAATTAACAATTATTAGTTTATTTGTCGTGACGTGGTACATGAAAGCTCTATCAGCAAGGTTTACACCCCCGATATACAACCCACATCATCCGTATTACAGCCTAATTCCTGTTGTTCAGTGTGTTCCAGGAAGGTCCACAGTCAAGATTTCAATCGGTTTCCTAGTTATTCGGTTAAGAGACGGTAACCAGCAGCTTAAGGCCTCGAAGAATAATCTACACGAATAATTTAGACTGAAGTGTTGAAGCACATATTTCAAAGTTTTTGCACACATTTGAGAAACCTGATCCGGTCTTGAATGTCGGATACCAGTTATTCCAGAACGACTCCTGAACATTTATTCTTGGTACTGTTACAATGTGCGGAAAAATGCTTCCACACAGCCACGACCGCGAAGCAATGAGCTCATTTGACTGCCTTGGATGAACGCAATCACTTAAAGAGGAAGGGTCAAAACTTTACCATGCGTTTCGTATTAAAAATTGACGGTTTTTAAAATAACATGAAGTAAAACAAGCCACAAAACACCGAATAGATCTGTGGAAAAATTGCATTGCCAAGCAAACAAACCCGTTACCTCCTGCTATTCCTCTCATTCATTTTTACTCTAAAAACGAAATCGGATTTTTTTTTTAAATTTGAAATTCAGAAAGCGTCTTTTGGCTGGGAGTTCATGATATAAGAAGGTTATCAAATCACATTTAATAATGAAGCCAGCACACCCACCGACTTCAGCTTCACTGCAGAATTGCCCAGCTTTTCTCTGAAAAGCGAAGGCTTTTGTTGACATTATTTATATCTTTAAAAATTTCTAACTGGTTGAGTTCCCACGCATAGCTGTTTTACTTAGAGGGTTATCCGAGTTCCACTTTTTAAGTCGTGCGGTGTTACTAAAAATCTCACAGCATACTGAGCCACGGAACTTGAAATGTGGTACAGCTGTATTCTGGTCACAACATCCATTGTTACAACAAGCTACTCGTCCGCACCAGCTAGTTGGATGTTCTTTTCTCGTCAGGGATGGGGTTTTAGTGGTATGACAGTGATATGGCATCCGAGGATGCCTTATGTTTCCTCTTATCAAATAAAGTTGTTTAGGAGAAGTAGACTGTGGGAACCTCTTTTCGAAAATTAGCACTGAGAGCATATCTTTTGAAAATGCAATACAATACAATACAATACAATACAATCATTCGTTCAGAGATTTGCCACAAGAACTTTGTCACTAACCCCAAATTGATTGGCTAACATGCTTACTACAGTTGTGGGGTTAATAATTCTAGAAAGAACGAGAACCCAAAATTAATAAGGAAGGTTGCTGACTGGTGAGAGGTGTGGTGGAAAGTCAATAAATGTGGGCCAGTCGCATACGTTTGTGCTCAAACAGTTTACATTTCGCAGGCTGAGCCGGAAGTCGCAGTTTCTGAAGGTTTCCCTTGCTTTGTGAGATGTGCACTTATAATGATCAAAAATGATGAAACACCTGTACATTGATGCTACTAAGGTTTTGAGGATAGTTATAAGTAATTGGGATTCTTAAAGTGTGTATTCGAGCCCTTCTTGAAAACCGCTGCTCACGCTCTGGTCTAAATACTCTGGTTGCTCACAACATGGGGAGAAAGAAATGAATTGCGTCGGACAATAAACGCACACTGAATCGAATTGCACGTTTAAACAGACTAACCTGAGCTAGCTTGTCTGACGCCTAGAGCGACGTCCAGCAACTGATTCAATTAAGTCATGGGAAGAACACCAGGCTGCAAAATCTGGATCTTCTTTCCACAGAACCGACGAGACCTACAGTGGCGAGCCCTTCAAAATGGTATCGTGTCGTAATCTGCATGAACAAAGGATATGCTGCTCTATCCCGTTACTCAACTTTGCTGCAAATTGGCCATTTGTTGCCGAGTTGTGGAGTGCCCAGCCCTCATTCAAGTGAAAGGAGTTTGATTTTATCAATAGATTTTCATCACGGCCATTTCTGTTAATTCCAACCAGTGCATAGCAACCAAACGGTGCGTTTTGACTTTTCAGGCAAATATTTCCATCACTTACAAGAGATAGCTTATCTGCAAAACTTAGAGCTCCCAAGGATTCATAAACATAAGCAAACGTTTGAGTCGTTTTGGGTGAAATATTCTCACCTTACTCTCAGTTTAATCATATTATCCTGAATAGAATTAGGTTCGGTATTTCTCTTAAGCATTGAACAAGCAACACAAAATGCGCAAGGTAGAAGGCGGTGGAGTAAGTTGATATCGCTCATTTTGCAACTCGGTGGAAACATGGCGAGGATCAGCAGTTGTCCTTTCGTTCCATGTACGTCTTTCTAAAATTAAAACAATCCTTTTGCTCATTTTATCATGACTGAGTTATAGAAAGCTATATTGAACTTTTCAGCATTTGTCAAGTCAAGCCTTAGGTGTTTCTATTTTGATTTAGAAATATATGAACTAAATGCATAATAAATCAAGTCAAATAATATCTGAAGTTGTTCAAACCGAAATATTTCTGTCAAAAAATCAAGTGGTCGTTATTGGGCACGAGATACACAATTCGCACCACTGTGTATACAATATGCATGACAAATTAAGGGAACCGTAAAAACAACCTTGTCACATTAGACCAGTATTCGTTAAGTTATTGCACTGAACCCTGATAGAAATGTTGAGCAAATTATATAACGATCGGCTAACAGCGGTGTTTAATAGTGGTGTCTGAAATTTTCGTAAAATTGCACACTTATTTTGCTCTTGTTTGTAATGTAAGATCACTCGAAAACTCGTGTAATTTATACAAACTAAGAATTTTCGTAAATTGCACACTTATTTTGCTCTTGTTTGTAATGTAAGATCACTCGAAAACTCGTGTAATTTATACAAACTAAGGAAGCAACACTGCTCTCCAAATGAACCAACTTCAAAGAAACTTTCTTTCTCTTTCGTTATACACATATGTCTCCAAGTGTTTTCTTCGGGATGCCTTCAATAACTATAGATTTTAAGATAATCCGGAACATTTGTCTACATTTGTCAAAGGACACGATGAGAACTAAACTCAAGATTTATAGTGATGTAGGTAAATGTCTAGCCTTCCATTTTTTGGATATGCGGTTGGGCACTGTTCTCCGTGGAAATTTATAACACACAAAGTCAATGAATGAAGACACACACTACGGCCATTTTATGTGCCCCTTTCAACGCTTTCTCAATTTTAGTTGCTGGGACACCAGTAAATGGTATGTGATAACTGGGGTCCAGTTATCGCTAAAGTGCAAAGAGTCTTCAGTTGTTTGTTGTTGATAATCATGTAAGCGGCCAACATGCGGATTTGCAGAAACTTTCACAACCGGTAAATTTGATGCACCCGAACCTTCATAAGTCATCATTCTTCTGTGTTTGAGAATAGTCGCTGCAACGCACAAACACAATATACCTGCATTTACCTTAGTGTCGAAGAAAACCTCCTAGGGCTGCTAGGATGTTGAAAACTCTGTGCTGGTCAAAATAGCCGATTACTCTTGAGCGCACAGAAGTGATCACTGCACATTGTGGTTGGCTGCTGAGGGGGATGCGTTCATTTAGCACTACCAGCATTATCCATTAATGAGGATTCAATAACAATGTCGGAAAAGGTTTTAGACACTAATAGATATAAAAGCTGTTGACTGGTATTCTTTCAATGACAAGTGGTAGGACTCTTCGTAGCCTCTTGATCCTAGAAGCATAATACAACCTTATATTGCTTCTTTCATTAAGTCGGCAGATCATGTATGATATGTGGCATAGAATTTGACTACAGCTTTGTAAAACTGGCTGCGGAAGCTTTTTAAACCTTGGGAAAATTCATAGAAGAATAACTCTAGCAGCGAAAATTAGGATTCTGTGTGTACTGATTGTTTGCATTTGTTGGGATGACGTTCAAGCTTCACGGCTCAGAACTAGGAGTCACCACGTGGTGCTACATCCTCATTAAATCAGAAAACGCGTCCTTATTACACTGTTTTGCAGTCAACTTAAAATTTTAAGGTCAGATTCATTTTGGTAACCAGTTTTGAATATTTACGCTATGCTAATGAGTTTAGCGGCCGTGAAGGTTTTTGAAAAAGCTTCACATGGGCAGAATCCTTCGAGTGTTGAGGTCCGGTTTCGACCGCATTGCGGGACGGGGACAGGAATCTAAGGAATAATTCGTCACAGGAGAATTATTAACAGGTTTTAATAATAATAATAAAGATAAAGTTTAATAATAAAGTAATAGTAGAGCAGTAATAAAGCAATTCTGTCTCAATGGGTACTACTTGACAAAGTACCAGTAGGGCTGTTTTGTAAGCTCTACCATCCCCATACACGTAATGCTGCCAAAGAGTTTTGAGCAGCCGTATGATTGGTGTATTACATTTATATATGTTTTGCCGTGTTTCAAGTGTCTTGCCAGCTGAAACATGAGATGGTCTGGTGCAGCAACTTAGTTGCTTAAATAGACCATAAAAGGTGGATTTAGCTGGGTTCAAGGTGAGTCTCCCGTCAAAACCAAATCTGTATGCAAATGAGTACACTTCGCTAATGCTCGAATGCTATTTTTCCATTGTTTCTGCGGGTTAGCTCATAGCATCAAAGAGTGCGGAGTTTTGCCTGGTGGGCGATAAATGCTTAGTGAAAATTCTAGAGTCTCGAGAACAACCTTTTTATTGTTATTCGTTTAGCCATTTGCTTTTATCATCCAAAGGCACTCTATAAGATTCCTGATTCATCACGCAAGCTATACATGACTCTATGCGACAGCGTATTTGAACAAGGCTTAGTGTCAACGAGATATTATCTACAATGCTTGTAGTTGGTTTTCAGCAGTCTCTAAACTAAACTAATCACCTGGTCACACGAAGTTGTCAAAGTGCTTTTTGTATATCCTGATCTTCATCAAGTGCTGACTGGATAGCCGGTCCACAGCAGTTCCAGCCGTTTGACAGATTTAGCCTG